TATAAAGAGTTGCGAAAGGTGGATTTATTAATTATGTAGTCTATTTTTTTAAAAAAAAGTTACTTTTGTGAGGGCAATTTTGTAATATTGCTGCAAGACAAATGGTACTTTTGTTATCTCCATAAGGGGTAAAATTGAAATTTTAACTAAAAGACAAGGGCACTCTACAAATAAAGTTTGAGGATATCAACTTCTAAAATGCTATTGTATTTTTATAAAAATTTCAAAATTGCCCTTGTTTAATGGTAAAGTTATTTATTGAAATAATTTTTTAATAAAAAATAATGATTGTTTTGATAAATATACCCATCACAACCCCTTCTAACTTGAACCTTTATATTTTGAGGGGTTGTTACCTCTAGACAAACTCATATCTAAGCCTTCCCAACGCCTATAAGCAAAAATGAACAGTAATTTCGCCTACCATCATCATCGTCCAAAGTTCATTGCAAGGTCATAGTTGTTTAGTGGTATTTTTATTTTTATTTTTTTTCTACAAATCCAAATAACTTGAAAAATTAAAACTTGTGTATATTTTAGTGAGGCGCACCGAATAGAAATATGAAAAAAAAAATTCATATTTATAAATAGACCAAAATACCCCCAAAAAATTATGGGGGTATTTTGGTCAATTTATATTTTTCAAATTATTTTTTTTATGTTTTTATGAGGTGCGTCTCATTAAGATATACACGCGCTTCAAATTTCAGATCATTCTGATTAGTAAAAAGAAATGAAAATTGAAATACTACCGGACAACTGTGACTGTGGAATGAAGTTTGGATAGTGATGAGGATAGGCGAAATCACTGTTCATTTTCGCCTATAGGCGTTTTGTAGTATTTTTCATATATATAAGAATAAACCTTCTGAACACTTAATAGCTATAATGAATAATAATATACGTGGAATCCCAGCCATTGAATCTTTATCATATGGTTCAAAATATATATCACTATGTAAATTGTAATATTGTTTCTAGAAATTGGATCATAATGAAAATTTAGATGTGTGACTATAAAATAGGGCATACAATTAAAAAACATTTCTCAAACTATAAAATGATTAAAATACCCTTGAAAAACGAGGGGGGTAATTTGATCAGTTTAAATTATTAAAAAAATAATTTATTTATATCTTTATACGATGCGCAATAGTGTTAGGTATAGACACCCAACATTTCATATTAATCAGATTTATATAAAAAACTTAAAATTAAAATAGTGATATGTATTTTGAATCACTCGATAAAGATCTAATGGTTGGGATTTCACCTATATTAATATTCATTATAGCTGTCAAGCGTTTGTTAGTTGTTTTCCTAACAAACATATATATATCTATATATAACAATGATTTCATGCAACATTTGTATCATAATATAATGCATATTATGCAACCACATTAAAAAACCATGTTAGAGATATTTGTTTGACACAATTTTTTAGATGTATGCTCTTTTCATTCTAAAGAATAATCACAACAAAGAAAATTTAGAAAAAAACACCCTAAAAAGTGTTTTTCTAGCCCAATTAATATAAGCCGTCCATTTTAGTGAGAATGTTAGATATAGGCCTCAGGATTTTTTTATTCCCAAAATTTTTATATAGTGTTATCATCATTAGATTAAAAATGCTAAAAAAGAAAAATGTGATTTTGAAAGTGTCAAGGCCCAGATCGAATCTAGTCCGATCTGACGGTCACGGTTGTGTGAGAGTATTTTAATTTTGTTTTTTTTTTCTACAAATCAAAATGATCTGAAATTTGGAGCGTGTGTACATCTTTGTGAGGCGCACCTAATAAAAATATATTAAAAAATAATTCACAATAAAATATTGGTCAAAATACCCCTGAAACTTCTTGAGGGTGTTTTGGTTAATTTATTTCATGTAAAATATATTTTTTATATACTTTTTATAGATTTTCCTATTTTTTTATGAACACACGTTTCAAATTTTAGATCATTTCAATTAGTTGAATAAAAATGAAAAATGAAACACTATCGAACATCTGTGATAGTCAGATCGGCCCAGATTCGATCAGGACCGTTCGACGTTTACTGTAGCGGTACACGAATCGGCGTACTGTAGCATCTTCCTATATATATATATGGAGTGGATTCTGTCAGCCTACAAGCTGACTGCTACAATGTCAGCCAATAGCCCCATATTCAATATGGGCTGATCTAATGGTCACAATCTCATTTCATTTTTGAATTTTCATTTTTTCTTTCTAAAGATCCAAATCACTCGAAATTTCAAGCGTTCATTCTTCTCATCAATGTGCACCAAATAAAAATATAAATAAAATAATTCACAAAATATAAATTGATTAAAATACCCTCAAAATATTTCGAGGGTATTTTTCTCAATTTATATTTTACGACTTATTTTTTTATATTTTTATTAGATTTTTTTGTTTTTGAAGAATAAACGCTTCAAATTTCAAATGATTTGGATTTGTAAAAATAAAATAAAAATTCAAACACAAATAAGATCGTGATCGTCAGATCGGTCCAGATTCAATATGGTCCATTAGTTGACATTGTAGCTATCAGCCCGTGAGCTAACATGATATTTTCCCATAAAAAATAAAGTAAAAAATATATATATAATGTCTTCCCAATACCTATAGACGAAAATGAACAGTGATTTTTCCTATGCTCATCACCATCTAAAGTTCATTGCATGGTCACGGTCGTCCGATAGTGTTCCAATTTTCATTTTTTTTTTCTTATAAATCGAAAT